TAAATCATAGATCTGACCATGTCATAACATAGCTCTAAACGTTTCCAGTTCCCAATATTAAAATGCAAAAACTCTATGCTGGGCATGGTGGTGCACGCCTTTTAATCCCAGCACTCGGGGGGCAGAGGCAGGCAGATCTCTGTGAGTTCAAGCCTGGTCTACATAGTAAGTTCCAGAACAGCTGGGGGGCTATGGAGACCCTGTCTCAAAAAGACCACAAAAAAAAAAAAAAAAGAAAAAAGAAAATTCTGTTTCTTATAGGTTATACCACCCCAAAAGAAGTAAAATGTGGTGTACATGCCTGTAACTCTAATACTCGAAAGGTTAAGGCAGGAGGGCCGCAAGTTAAGAGTCAGCCCAAGGCTACAAATCAAGACCCTGCCTCAAAACAAAAACAAAAACCAAACAAACAAACAAAAACCCTCCTTTTCCTCTTCATGCAGCCTGCTTATTTCACTTAACCTTCCTCATGGGCAAACCCATGCCCAGGTTTTAAAGTGACAGAGGTTTCATTTCAACCTAGCTGCTCACTGTTCCTTAACCTGCATCCTGGCTACTGTGAGAAGCTGCAGGCTCAGTACCAAGGATGCTACAGTTTAGGGAGCAGCTGGCGTTCTCCAGTAAATCTGTCTGTACATGACATCCTCCTTCCATTCCTGACTCTAGAAGCAAGTGAGCCCCAGAACAAGATCCTGCTCAGATGGAGGAGAATCCACGGAGGTTCAGGCACTGTAGCAAATACCTAAAAGACAAAGCCTTACAACAGAGAAGAAAGCACTACTGGGCTTTCTGGAGAGAGGGAAGGTGCATAACAACTAAGGACACATGTCCCACGACCAACTGTCACTTAAAGCTTTGTATGCCCACCTCTTCGTCCATAAAATCCTCAGGACCAAGAACAGACTTGTCTGCTCTGTTCTGTCGTGAAGACACAAAGGTAGAGGGTGTCCATCCTAGAAAGAAAAGAATTTAGAATTTTATGATCCTCAACAGCATTTCATTTGTTTGTTTTTGTTTATTAAGACAGGGTCTTCTGTTAAGCCTGAACTCACTACGTCAACCAGGCTAGTCTCAAACTTGCAGTGATTCTCCTGTAAGAAACAATATGGGAGCTGGGTGTGGTGGCGCACACCTTTAGTCCCAGGCAGATGGAAGCCAGCCCAGTCTTCATAACAAGTTCCAGGCCAGCTGGGACTACAGGGAGACCTTGTCTCAAAAAAAAAAAA